CCAACAGTGAAGTAGTAGACTTAATAGCAAAACAACAATGGCGACCGTCAGCATTGGTAATTAGATAAAAGAGGAGAATTGCATGAAGAGTTTAATTGACAGCGCGGTATCTCTTAAAGTCACTTTGACGTTCAATCCAGCGAAGCCAAATTAAATAGTCCTGAAGTGGTAAAAGTCGTTGATTCCCCCCATTTAACGCCTTATTAAGTTCATTGCCTCTTTTCAATGCTTTTCTTGCCCTACTCGAGTCTTTATTTATTTTCCCCTTTTCTATTCTAAACTGGAGCACAAGTAAAGAATAACGCTGTTTTCTTGTTGATTTCTAGAAAAAAAATGGCTCAGTAAGTACTTCCCAGCTGCAATTATTCAACTAGAAATTAAATTGCCAAAGTCAGAACTTAATCGATAAATAAATCCTTGGCGAATTAGTTTTGAATCCACGCCATGTTTAAGCATTTATTTCTACATTGTTGGATAATGAACTTACCAAATGCTTTGCACAGTTGTGTATGCACATATCTATATATGAACATATGTATGTACATCTTACATTAGACCAGGTCCACCTCAACACAAAAAAAAACGGTTTTATTATTTAAGTCTAAAAGTGGTAAAGTTTTAACTAAACCTTGCTTACTCATGTTTATAGGGGTTGCTGGTTTTAAATTTCCCCACATAATTTCGAAATTCAAAATGGCGGGTTCATAATGACCAGTTGTGAAATATTATAGGTGACTATTAACATGTTTTCTGCCTTTTTGTAATATACAGTAATACAGTGACTCAACGAAGTATTCACATGTTCCATTTTTCTAATATTCACAATGATTTGCATGTAAGTTTTATTTTTTTTTTTTATAAAAACATTGTTAACGCTTTAACCAAAACTATATAAATCAAATATTCAAACTTTGTTTAATAAGAATAACAAAAAATAAATACGAATTTTTAAAACATTTTTGGGTGTGCCCATACAGGGTTTTTTAACAATTTAAAAAACTGATTTTAATTTTTTTTAGTTTCTTTTTTTCGCGAACGGTATTGCGCCTCTTTCTATAATAAGTTCACGTTTTTATGGAAAAAATTGCAAAAATCCGTCAGCAATAAAAATTTATTATAAATCGACGTGCCGCTTGAAACTTGCACTTTATTATACTAAAATTGTATGGGCTATAACCAAAAGTTTGGGCATGCCCAAAAGTATTCTAAAAATTCAGATTAACAAATTTTGAAATTTTGCTGAAATTTTTTTGATAGTGATAGAACAAAACAAATTACTTGAAAAACCCTTGTCACTTTGTGAAAAACCAAATCAACATGTGAACACTTATTTGATGATGATTTTAACCAAAATGGATAGGAACTACTTCACTATATATGGAAAAAAGTAGACCGCTCTTCTCGACCACTCATATAACGATTTTCACAATTTACCATTAGGAACACGAAACGTTGCCAGCAAATTTTCTGGGGGAAGATTTTGGCGGCGTACAAATGTTCGCACTATTCAATAGAATGCATTTTGCGCGACCCGACCTAATGTGTGTGGCCGTGTTTATATGCTTGCATAGCATATACATAAGTATGTTTATTTATATGTACTCGTATGTTTATTTACTAGGTATGGCTTTTGTTGCGTAAATTTAGTTTCTTAACGCTTCGCTTGGTAAGCTTCGCGGTTAATCGACAGTTAAATAGTCAAAAAGAAACAAAGAAAGCAGTAAACACACAAATTGCAAATATACGTGAAAGTACCAACATGCAACTGTATATATACATAAGTACATACATACATACATATGCATACTTATAAAGTAAAATTGAGTGTACTCCAAATCAAATAATCATCTCACAGAAGCTGTTCGATTTCTTTCGAACATACATATGTATATTAGGGTGCCCATCGAAAATGCGTGTTTTTTTTTTTGGAAATTTCAAGAGCCTAGCCTAGATTATTATATATATCATTTTAAAGGCCTATTTATCCTCTTCTCAGATAATATTGGCTCTTTGAAATCGCAGGAAAAATAGTCATTCAAAAACTACAAAATCGTATTTTCTGACCGAAATCGACAGGTCTTGACCTCTAAATGACCTTTAGAAAATCTATAAAAATAGGCAATAATATTTCTCATAAAAAATAATAAAATTGTGGGGTAGGGTCCTGAAATTTCAAAAAAAAAGCATTTTCGATGGGCACCCTAATGTATATACACATATACTGGAGGGCTGCATAAATGGTTTTGAAAAGATGTTCAAAACATTTGATTATGTTCTCTGGACTTCACTTCACCTGCTCACAGCTTTCGATATTGCATAAAGTGGGAAACTGGGATTTATCCGTTTTTTTTTTTTAGTTTAATAAAACAAATAACTAAAATTAGAATGCAAAAAAATAACTTGATATAACTTGGCAATATGTGGTACACTTATTATTCTAACACTGGTTTATATTTTCGTAGAGTTACCACCTGTCTGTGTTAAAAAAATAAAATTTGCTATCACATAACAAATAATTTAGGAACAATTTAAGCAATACAAATGCTTAATCCTGGATGATCCCACAAGAAACCAATTGGACAGTTCCAGAAAAAAAGACCAAAAATCCAAGAAATTATCGAAAAATTCTAAAAGTACCGATATTGTTCAATTTGCCAAAATTAAAAATTTCCAAAATATCCCTAAAAGCACTATAGTCTCAAAAAATTCTGAATTATCGCAAATTTTCATTTAGCGTTCAAAATTTTCTTCATGTTCCAAAAAATATAAATCCTCAAAAGTCCGTAAAATTTCAAAAAATTGTCATTATATCTGAAAAGTTCCTAATAATTGTAAAATATTTTTATCAGAACACTGGGTTATGATGACAAAAGTGAAATGTGAAGAAAAATTTAATTACAATGCCTTTTGGGTTAAACCTAATACAAGCGCACCGTGTATTACTTGGTGTCGAGTTTTTTTTGCCGACTAAAGGGGTAAGGCACCCTCCCCGGGAAAAGAAAGAAAAACAAACCCTGTTCCGCTTAGAACTTGTTTTACGAACAAAATGTGCAAATATTCCAAACAAACAAATCCAGCAATCCAAAGTAATTAAGTAACCAACGAGTCAAGCGACTTGCTGTTAAAATACCCTCGCTTGTCCGCCCATTCACATTCATTATCAAGCTCAGCCTTCAGCTTTATACTTACTGTGGCAGCATCTATTTAATATCCTTGTCTTTCTCTCTCACTCGATTCCGCACCTGCGCCACCGTCCGACTATCGTCTGGCAACATTTGCTATCACAGCAAAATTTATTACCGCCTCAGTGAAATTTAATTACCATAGGGCTATGTATGTATGTATGCACGTTACAATTCTGAACTCATTGCCGCATATCTTAGCGCTAAATTGTCAGTGCGGTTTCCGCTGTGGCAATAGCGCCTTCTATAAATAAAAAATAGGCTGGTAGTTATATGAAAGAAATTACGTAATATATGTAAATATTAGTTGGTAACGGGAATTCATATACTATACATACTACATAGCACCAAACGCACTACTTATTAAATAAATGTATACATTTTTAATAAGCGAAAAAGAAGCCGAGCAGAAGCTACATATTTTCTCATAGTCTTAGTTAAAAAGAAATATTCTAATTACATTTGCATTAAACAAAAATGTACGAGTTAATAATTACTAAATGGAAACTAAATTAGAGCAAATGAAATGCTTGATTTTTTTATATTTTTTATTTGCTTGTAGATTTTATATTTATTCGTCTACCATTAACTGAAGCGCCGTTTATGGTTGTTCCAACTTATAGTGGCTCCTGCTTCCCTTCGATTTATAATTCATCACATTTTCATCCCAACCAATAGCGCTGCTGATTTAAGAATCACTAACACAGCTCATATTTTCTTTATCGTCTGCTTTCCAGGGCATGAATCACGTATGACGATAATCGTCTGACGATCTCATGTTGTCCTTCATGAAAACAAAAATATGTGTGATCGTTTGTGCAATATATGTACATTAGGGCAGGTCAATTTGTATGGGAGTTTTTTTCGACTATGCGCGTATAGCACAGAAGGATTCTACGTGTAATTCTGAGCAAATTTGCCGAAGAAACCGTGGGTGAAAGATCAATTCGGAGTATGCCAAAATGCGAAAATAGGTTTCTTAGGATTTCGCTGTAGTATCATAAATAAGTATTTAAATTTTGTATAAAAACGTGCTATAAGGGTTTTTTTTGGTATGAAGAATCCATTTCTGTACTGAACTTTTTCTTAAAACTTCCAACAGAGGGCATAATAGTGGAAATTTTTCCATTTTCTTCGAAACCTATTTTCGCAATTAGGCAAACTCCAAATCGATTTTAGATCCATGGTTTCTTCGGCAAATTTGCTTAGAATCCGCGGAAATATACAAAAGGTAGTATCAGAAAGTACGATTCGACATACATATAATGCTTATCACATCATAAAAATCTCTTCGCCAACGTGGAAAATTATAACAATAGTTATGTAGAATCCTCCTATGCTATACGCGCATAGTAAAAAAAAAAAATTTACCCGCCCTAATGTACATACTAAGTCGGGTCGGTAATAATGCAAAAGAAAACATTTTCTAGTCTTGAATTGTAATTCTCTTTAGGGATACTTGGATACATAGATTGACGTTGTGTACTGCAACTTTGGTTCTATTATACCCCCAGAAATATAAATTGTATAAATTTCCATTGTATAAGATTATGTCATTACACTCCTACCCAGGAGTAACTAGCCTTAATTAATTACCTACGGATTGAACTATTCGTATTCCATAGCGCTTCTTAGTATACGTGGGTCCTTTATAAATTAAGAAGATTTTTTGTACAAACAGCAATAAATTTAATTTTTATTTTCAAACATACATATATTTACTGCGATCAAAAAATTAATACATAGACTAATATTAATTTGTAATTTTTTCCCACAATTTCTCGCTTTTTTCCTCAACCATCACCATAACTTCAGCCATTTTGAGCACACTCTGCAAGGAGTTCCTGCAAGCGAACGTCTCCGCCATACTATATATGATGAATAATGAACAATTCGGTCATAGCACTGCCTCCGCTCAGTATTTTCTACAACTGGCCGGCTATCTTGGCATACCGGTAATCTCATGGAATGCTGACAATTCTGGTTTGGAGAGACGCGCCTCTCAATCGACACTTCAGCTTCAGTTAGCTCCAAGTATAGAACATCAAAGTGCTGCTATGTTGAGCATTCTTGAGCGTTATAAATGGCATCAGTTTTCGGTTGTCACCTCTCAGATAGCCGGACACGATGATTTCGTACAGGCTGTACGGGAGCGTGTCGCCGAAATGCAAGACCATTTCAAATTCACGATACTCAATTCGATTGTTGTAACGCGCACCAGCGACTTGATGGAATTAGTGAATAGCGAGGCTAGAGTGATGCTCCTCTATGCCACACAAGGCGAAGCGGTTACTATTCTTAGAGCTGCTGAAGAAATGAAGTTAACTGGCGAAAATTATGTGTGGGTCGTTAGTCAATCAGTTATCGAGAAGAAGGATGCACATTCACAATTTCCCATTGGCATGTTGGGTGTACACTTCGATACGAGTAGTGCTGCGCTAATGAATGAAATATCGAATGCAATCAAAATTTATGCCTTCGGTGTGGAATCCTACCTTACAGATCCGGCAAATCGGGGGCGACGCCTTACAACGCAATCACTTTCGTGTGAGGATGAGGGACGCGGACGCTGGGATAATGGTGAAACGTGAGTATACATGTAGAGAGTACCCGTCAAGGCGATTTCATACAAGGTGATAGCGGCAGAAAAAAAAACAAAACACTGCAGTTACAAATTACACGCACGATGACCATCCGAACGCAAAAAATGTACAACAAATACATCACTTTGACAATCAGCACAATTCGCTTTGCAATCAGCTGCTCCGGTTACACCACCTTGTATGAATTCGCCTTGGTAACCGTATTAAAAATACTCCAAATGTGAATATTTATTTCATGTTTTCATTCAGTTTCTTCCGTTATTTGCGCAACGTGTCTATCGAAGGCGATCTGAATAAGCCGAATATAGAGTTCACTGCCGACGGTGATCTTAAATCTGCTGAACTGAAAATCATGAACTTGCGTCCTGGAGCAAACAATAAAAATCTCGTTTGGGAAGAGGTAAGTGTTTGCAAATTAAATTTTGATTGCACCGCGAAACTTCCCACTTGTTTCCGTTTTCCATCCTTAATTTCATACTTATGTATTCGCTTCTTTATTTGATTTTTATGACTTTACCGTATTTCTACATTCAATTTAGCATCTCTTTCAATTCCATCAAATTTTCTCTTTTTGCTTCTTTTTTCCCTTCCTATTCATAACTATCCCTTTCTTCATTCCTCTGCACTTCTTCGCTCTTACTATTTCTTTCCGCTTTCCCCACTCTTCACTTATTTAGATTGGCGTCTGGAAATCATGGGAGACGCAAAAGCTCGATATCCGTGACATCGCGTGGCCGGGTAACTCGCATGCTCCACCACAGGGTGTACCCGAAAAATTCCATTTAAAGATAACATTCCTCGAAGAGGCACCCTATATCAATCTGTCGCCCGCCGACCCAATCAGTGGCAAATGTCTAATGGATCGCGGCGTCCTTTGTCGGGTCGCGGCCGATCATGAGATGGCCGCTGACATCGATGTGGGGCAAGCGCATCGTAACGAATCGTTTTACCAGTGTTGTAGTGGCTTCTGCATCGATCTGCTGGAAAAATTTGCCGAAGAATTGGGTTTCACATACGAATTGGTTCGGGTCGAAGATGGTAAATGGGGTACACTTGAGAATGGTAAATGGAATGGGCTGATTGCAGATTTAGTAAATCGTAAAACCGACATGGTATTGACATCGCTGATGATCAATACCGAACGCGAAGCTGTGGTGGACTTTAGTGAGCCCTTCATGGAGACGGGCATTGCGATAGTGGTGGCGAAGCGTACAGGTATTATATCGCCGACAGCCTTTCTGGAACCATTCGATACGGCCTCATGGATGTTGGTGAGTGGGCGGGGATAAAATAGAGTGGGCTGTTTTTGTTTTAAAACTAAATTTTTACTTTGTTTTTTTTTTTATCAAATAAAACCCACAGGTCGGCATTGTGGCGATACATGCAGCCACTTTCATGATCTTCCTTTTCGAGTGGCTTTCACCCAGTGGCTATAACATGAAACTCTATTTACAAAATACAAGTGTGACGCCTTATCGGTTCTCCCTTTGTCGCACCTATTGGCTCGTGTGGGCGGTGCTGTTTCAAGCCGCCGTACATGTAGACTCACCGCGCGGTTTCACCTCACGCTTCATGACGAACGTGTGGGCTCTATTCGCTGTGGTCTTCTTGGCCATCTACACTGCTAACTTGGCTGCCTTCATGATAACTCGGTAAGCGCGTGAAATTTGTAAACAAAAAAATTCTCTTACTCTTCTTAGTTAAATATTTTATTTTTGCAGAGAGGAATTCCATGAATTCAGCGGACTTAACGACAGTCGTTTGGTGCACCCCTACTCGCATAAACCCTCATTTAAGTTTGGCACTATACCCTATAGTCACACTGACTCGACTATACACAAATATTTTAAGGATATGCATCTCTACATGAGACAGTGAGTGTTTAGTTAATATGTACATACATAATAAACTTGCATAAACTAAACTTTTATAAAATAAAAACATTTCGCAGATACAATAAAACTAGCGTCGCTGAGGGCGTAGCTGCCGTACTCAATGGTAATCTCGATTCGTTCATCTACGATGGCACAGTTCTTGACTATTTGGTGGCACAAGATGAGGACTGTCGTCTAATGACAGTTGGCAGCTGGTATGCCATGACAGGTCAGTTAAAATTTTTAGTGTTTAGCAGTAGTACACGGAAAAGCAGACCGTAAGATATCTTGAGGGGCATACAATTTTGATATATAAAATCAGCGTGCAAAAACAACCTAAGTAATACTGAAAAATAATAATATTTTTTACTGATTTATATGCTATACTTCCCTTTTATTTAAAGTTTTATACATTTTACTAACTTTCGGGCCCAGAGCCTCGTCTTTCCTCCACCCGATTTTTAAATTTTCTCGCTAAATATTTTTTTATAACCAAACGAACTTATTTAAAGGCTGTCTTGCTTTGTAGGTTTTAAAACAGTTGTATCCATACAAATAACGCGCACACTAATGCCCACTTATAACCGGTTTGGTCATAGCGAACTTTTACACTGTGCGCCGCTAATAAAACAGAGATGACCAAGGAAACGTTTTACATAGAAAGCTTTAAAAATTTTCACCTCCGGTATGTGTTTTACATCTGGCTGATATAAAATGTAAAGAAAGTTCAAAATATCTCTGCACGAATACCCATGAAATGGTGCGCTCGGATCTAGACAAGTTTTTTTTTTAAGCTGTAAAATCGTATCTGCAACAGTTTTCTATTATTGTTTTCAATTATTATTTTTCCTTCCTCTCATCCTTTCTCTCCAGGTTACGGTCTCGCCTTTAGTCGCAATTCAAAATACGTCCAAATGTTCAATAAACGTCTGCTAGAGTTTCGTGCCAATGGTGATCTGGAGCGATTACGTCGTTATTGGATGACGGGCACATGTCGACCTGGCAAACAGGAGCACAAATCTTCAGATCCACTTGCGCTGGAACAATTTTTATCCGCTTTCCTGCTGCTCATGGCTGGTATTTTATTTGCCGCGCTGCTACTGCTGCTCGAACATGTCTACTTCAAGTATGTACGAAAACGTTTGGCCAAAAAGGATGGCTGTCACTGTTGTGCGTTGCTCTCACTGTCGATGGGTAAAGCGTTGACATTCCGTGGTGCGGTTTTCGAGGCGACGGAAATACTGAAAAAGCATCGTTGTAATGATCCCATTTGTGATACACATCTGTGGAAGGTTAAACATGAGTTGGATATGTCACGGTTGCGTGTGCGGCAATTGGAGAAGGCATTGGATCAACATGGCATCAAGCCACCGCAATTGAGGTAAGTAGGATGTCGGATATTTACAAAAAAACAAGAAGAAAAAAATTGGAAAATAATGCTTTCTCGCTTTATTTACTTGCAGACTGGCATCATCATCGGATTTACTAAATCATCATCATCTGAAAGAGCGTCCACCGCTGCTGGGTAACCTGAGCTTGGCTGCGAGCGCACAAGATTTATACAGGTGGTAAGTTTTTTATGAACATATGAATGTGTCCCCTCCTCTGGTATCCCGTATTATTCTGAAACTCCTGTAAACCCATATTGCCAGATTTTAAAGTAGTAGTAGAAGTGTGTCAATCAATTTTAAACCAACCACATGGTACTTCCTAAAAACACCTACACTTACCATCATCACCATTAACAGGGCACACATTTGTACATACGACCACACGAATAGTATTCTCTATACATATACATAAGGGTGGTCCTTAAAAATCAGATTGACGATTTTTTTCAGTCACACCCCCTCAATCGGTAATACCACGGTCACAAATATCACATATAGATTGTGGACCCGACTGGAGACGGTTAAGACGTGTCGCACAGGAGTCAAAGTACAGATTCCTCTATAGAAACTAAAAAAATTAAAATTATTATTTATATTTATAATTCTAATACTCGATACTAACGTAGTCGAAGATATCACATATAAATGTTGGTCCCGATTGGAGTCGATAACGACGCGGCGGGGTCAAATTAAATATATTTGTTTTTTTTTCATTTAATACCCAAAATCGAGACTAATAAAGTCGAGGATATCACTTCGTCTTCACAGGGTAGTCTGAACTTTGACCCTTGTGCAACACGCCTTAACCGTTTCCAATGGGGACCAACATTTATATGTGATATCTTCGACTATAGTAGCATCGACGTACGGGTTGAGGCTTAGGAAAGCTGATGCAAAAATTTGCTCCCTACATTTAAGGACCACCCTAATATGTAACAGCATTCAACCCATAACAGCAACATTGTTTGAAAGCGACGTTAACTTTAGTTATATATGTACATATGTATGTATGTACATACATCTAAGCCACCATTTAATGTTGATTCGCTGAGCATATTTGAATGCTCCATTAAGCAACCAAACATTGAGACGATTTAGGGAGTCGTTCATAGTACGTTAGCGCCTTTGCTCAGTGTGAGTGTGGCTAAGTAAACGACTGAGTGATGAACTGACCTACGTATGTATATTTATTGAACCAACATCAAAATTACCGATTTATAGCTACATTATGTAACTTTGTTTCACTCTTTCCTTTGTGTGTTGTTTCCTGTTTATTTTGTATTTTTTTCTTTACTGTTTTTAACTAATGGCTGCTGCAAACGGAAACTCAACCAATTTAGCATGAAAAATACAACTTAATCCCTCTTTTTTTATTTGCTTTAAGCTTTGTATTCTTCTTTTCTTATTGGGATGAAAAAATCGGTAAAAATAAAGCTACAATAAAATATAGCATATCCGTCCGAATTTCAATTTTTTTGAAGCTGCTGCTTTTCGCAAATGTCGGATTATGGAATTTCAACTCAACTCAATTTTGCTGCTCACACTTTTTCCTTCTTATACAAGTGCATACGCTTATCGCATATGCAAGCATATATATAACTTTATGTATGTAAAGGCATACATATTTATGTATGCACATATATATATATATTTATCTGCATTATATATTGTATGTATGTATAAAATCATACTCTTTACTAAAAAATCCATTACTACAACCATTGTTTACATTTATACATACATATGTATGACCATACAAATACATTTTTAATATTTATCTGGACCTCTTGTTTGCATTGACGTATATTTATTGCTTCATACCCATACAAGAGTTGACAAATCAGATTTTGTGCAAGTATTTGTCTCAACAGAACCACATTCTTAGAGATATGCGGTTTACATGGACCATATATTTTTGTGTGCTCTGCTCAGAGTGTTTAAAAATAATGAAACATATCTAATTACTTTTCGTTTGAACTTCACATTTACATGTTTTATCTTGATTATTTTATTTTTAGAAATTTCATTTGGTATATTAGAGGTCCTTTGATGCAATGTGAAACAAGCAAAGTTATCCACAATTATATTTATTTTTCCTCAAAAATTTTCATTAAAAAATCGCCTCAATACAAATTTTTCAATATAAATTGCTAATGAATAGTCTACATACATCATATATTTTTTTAAAAATAAAACAAATGCTTATTCATTTCAGTGGCCATTTGCAGATTTTACTCTTCATTTACTATTTATGATTATGGTTATGTAAGGGTAGGTCTTCAGGCCCATTGCACCGCGACCGAATTTGATCTATTGTGCATCCTATATCAACTTTGGTTGTTTAGTTTACACAAGAATTGTAATAACCCCTGCTGCGAAATCTGCTGCCGTTTAAGAATCTGGCTCTGCGGTGAGCTAGTGTTGGGCAGCTGGTAATGAGGTGCTCCATTGATTCCTCTTCTTTACCACAGAACCTGCAGGTGTCTATACTACGCAGGCCAAGCATATGCAACAAACATATATGTATAGTGCTCCACACAGTGTTTTAAGGTTTTTTTCTACTTAGCATGAGCGCCGATTGAGCTCTTTGTTCAATGAAGCATAGACATTTCTTTGAGTGATGGTGTCCCTCGAACGTATCCCAATATCTAACAGTGCAGGATATTGCCCACTTTTTAAGGTCCCTCTTAATATCATCGTTGTTGAATCCAAGGAATGGGCTGGGACCAAAGGGTGTGTCTGTCCCTTTTTTAGCTTCAAAATCCGATATCATAGCCCTCATGATCAGGCACGCAGATTAAGTAGACTCTATTTTGGGCGGCTAGGTTATTGAGTGGTCTATAAGTGTTTTTTGTTGAGAACGAGTAGCTATCTAGAGCTTTGAGGACAGATTGGCTGTCCGAAAATATGGTGATTCTTATTCTGGCATATTGCTTGTTTATTAAGACGTAGGCGGTCTCCAGTGTGGCAGTTAGTTCCATCTGGAATATCGTTGCGTCTTTACTTAAGGGAAAAGATGTACGCGAACGCGGTCCAACAACACCCGCACCTACACCGTAAGATGTTTTTTGTACCATCGGTATACCATTTATGTGAAGCATCGCGCAGCCACGTGGGATTTCTGCTCCAATCTTCTCGAGTGGGAAACATGATCTTGTACCTCTACGTAAAGCTGAGGGTATATTCAATATCTGATTCTGAGATAGGGCGTTCTTCAAAAAGTTTTTCAGAGAGGGCGTTTTCAAACCGGCTGCCGGGATAGTTTGATCTACCACTCAGCCGTTGATATATACATTAGTGATAGTAATGTTATGTTGTCTTAGGTCTAACCCATAACAATTGGCCACGAGAGATTAATTTAAAACATATGTATCTTTAGCCCGCGCAATTGATTCAAAGTATTTGCAACTTTGGCTGGTAATATCCAAGGAATGCATTAATTGTTATAAACAAGACGATATACCAAAGAAAAGGTTATTAAATTTAATATATTTATATACATTATTTTAATATATTTTTAGATGTTTCGTCACTACACACGAATAAAGACGCGGTAGTATTTTGACAGCTAAAAAAGGCGCGTAAAAAAATTATGCGAAAAAAGATGTTTATGAAAAACTTCGGCGAAGTATGTTAAGAGCTTTTGACGCTAGAGTTTTTTTATGCGTCGCGCCTTTATTCGTGTCTAGTGACGATTTATAAAAACTTACAAAATCGAAAATCTTCCCGTGTGAGTTTTCAGTTCTTCATTACTTCAGTAACCAAGTGAAAAATGTAAAAAATGAGACGAGACTTATTTCAAAATTTTTTAAGTTTTCGGATGTTTATATAATATTTGGTCAGTTTTCAAAATAGTGGTGAATGAAGTCGTTTGATAAGTCCCATAGTAGTTTCAAGCACATATACAAATTAACTAAATAACATTAGGGCGGGCAACGCCCATTTTAAGTCCATTTATGCATTCTTGAAAATTGGAGCGGAATGGTTTCGTTAGTCGACGAAGAAGCACATTTTTCGCGGTTTCTAAATGTCCCGTTATATGAAAGTAGGGAACGTGCAATAGGTATTTAGATTATACATACATAAATATTTTAGTTATTTCCATTATGTGAAAAAGTGACTGTAGGTAAATCCAACAGCCTTTGAAATATCCTGGGAAATCCTTTTGAGGACTCTTCTATTGGACGATTTGGTTTTGTATTCAGCTTGAACGAAGAAGGCGCTTCCTAGGACATTTTTCTGCAACCGCTTTCTTATATTTCGAAGTTAGTTATACAATTAAAGAGAAATTTTCGTCGAAAAACAAACAGAGATATATCTTTTTGGGATATGTACACTTTTGGCCAATATTGCGCGTTCGGTACGTAATAATTACCAAATTGAAGGCGAGACTTACTGTTTCTGATTTATGATAATCATATGATAACAATCGTTCAGAACCAAAAATTCCTGTCAACTTCCTTTATTTGCAATTTCTGTGTTGCATGCACATACATAAGTAAACTAAATAAACTAAACTGTTTCTCGAATTTTGGCTAGTCAGTCTTCCAATATACATTTGCATAAACAAAATTTTTCCACGGCGATATAAAATAGAGCTTTTCGTATTACGGCTACCAATATTGTTCATAAATTTTGCAAAACTTCGCAAAATACAGCTTGTATGAAAAAATATTAGTAGATTTGGAACCAGCGACCTAAATACACCCCTGAGATATGAATGCTGTTCTTTACATTCTTTGCCTATAGAATAGTGCAATAATCAATAGGACAATTACAATTTGGTTGTAAAAAGATAAGTTTGAGAGTAACCATAAACTAAAAGACTGCCAGAAATGACATTATAATTGAAATAAACGACTAATATTTTACAGACTTGTTTTTGACCCCACATTACAACATATTTTCACTATTACCAAGTGATTTGAAAAAAATTAAATTTTCGACCCGCCCTAATGTGCATATTACCAACACTACAAATTGGCTCGAATTGCTTACTTTACTTATACGCTCTGAATTTGCTTTTTCAACTCACAAATAAGAATGTACATATGTATGTATGTATGTAGATGTGGGTCTATTTATACTTATGCTCATGTAAATATCTACAGTTTATTTGTATTTATGCTAAATGTACGTGCGCGAATGTTCACACTTACATACATAATCATAAATGA